CGGGACGGAAAATTGTCCCGTAAGCGGGAATCGCGATTCACAAACGACGCCTCGTGCTTCGCAAAGTGGTACTCGTGTTTCGCTCTCGTATTTCGTGGTATATACGGAAATGACACGGCGACACCAATGGCGGCGGCGGCGACGGCGACGGCAATACTTTATGTTCGCGCTAGTGGAACATCCACGCGCTTGTGCCGACCGAGAAGTGAGGCGAAGTGAGGTAAGCCGGCTTTACGACGTCGACGTACGTTCATTTTCCTTTCGTGTTTCGTATTACGAAGCCTTCGCTCTGCCTTCAAAGCTACCGGGATCTTATTAACTCTTGGTGATTGTTCGCTTTTTGAATTATTCTCTCTTTACTTCTCTAAGGATATCAAGAAACGCGGTTGCGTTTCGCAACATATACCTATACAATACATTACATTTATACATATACCTACATATAAAATAAATATAGAAAATATGTATGTAAAATAATACCTTCTTCCTGGAATATAATAAATAAATAGAAACACACGTGTAGAGGAAAGTTCTCTATTACGAGATAGGTTTTTTATTAAAAACCTATCTCGTAATAGAGAACTTTCCTAACACATATTTGTGATAGCAGGTTTTCAACACCCAGATTCAATTACAAGTCTTTTTTCGCAACGATTACACCATCTAACAGTCAATTTTCCACTAAACAGTTTTCGCACCAAAGGCAATAAATTCATAGTGCAATTAATTAATGATTAATTTAACAGAAACCCCGCTATCCCATATTAGGATCCTATCTCATAACAGGGAACTTGCCTCTATATTCGACTTAAGTGTTAAAATATATATTAATATTATTCATTTTTATTTAATTCGTTATATTTTTTTCCATTTTTTTGTATTATTCTAATTGTAAAACTTAATGTAAGAATATTATAACGATTACTTTTATCGAAAATGACATGGTTTATTTAAGGAATACGCATATTCAGATAAAGTAGTTGTGATAAGAAATTATTCCGAGCGATCGATATGATTCGTGCAATTTCAGAAATGTATGACAATGTTATTAACGGCAAGACACAATTGTGAAAGGGTTGCAGGGCAAGCCGTATTCAAACGATCGTGATTTTCGTAATTATTCCACGCTAACAATTACATTACACGTTTCGTGTTCCGGGAAATTATTAGTCGAGTTAATAACGAGCGATTTTTTCTCACGTGAGAAAAATTATTCGCGAACCAACTTTTCCAGCATCGCGAAATTTTCATCATCACGCGATGAAGCGGCGTGTCCGTATATAACTTCACACGGAATTTCTCTCTCTCTCTCTCTGTTTTTTTTTTCCATCGAGATTGCCGTTGACTGTCGCTGAATTTTTCAGGACAGTTCTGGAATTCCAGCGGCGACATTTCGCGCGTTTTGCGAATATGATTAGTCTGACAATGTGTCACAAATGAAAAATTTGTGTAGGTACGTTTCTCGTGCCAGTCATTCAATTTTTTTTGCCCGGATCTCCGCAATTTTATTTAAGTAACGTAAAAATTTATAACGGAGAGTTTTTGCAGAGACATGCTGTGCCCTACACTTTTCTCGAAGCAAACGAAAACCGCCGAGGGCATTGTGGTGTACAGATTTGTGGCATTACTGGGCATTAGTTTGGGCAGTAGGCCTTGCTGAGGCATTGCAAAGATAAAATGAGATAAATCAAGATAAATATGCAAATAAAGTTAAATAGGACCATTGTGATATGATAAATAAAATAAGCGAGAGCGCCTTTAGGTCCGAGCAAGATGTTGGTAGCCCAATAATTGTAATCTAAAATGCCAATTTATATGCCGTTTTTCATCTTGTCCTGCGCGCCGGTTTCTTTTCGGACATAACACAGTTTCACTTAGATGGAATCATTGTCGTCACGGTATTGAATGCTAAATATATGATTGTGTGATGTTAAAAAACGTCATCCATCTCTAGACATCGGTCGGAGAAATTGTGTTAAGGCCTGTGTCCACGATGCTAGGACTTGGTCCAAGTTCTAGTTTCGAGAAATGTACTTATAGCTTTTCCGTAAGAGATGCAAGTTGATTGGCTACACATTTTTCAAAACTAGAACTTTGACACAGTTCTTGGATCGTGAACACAAGGCTTTAGAAGGCATGTCTATCCGACACAACCGCCACAGTAGGACTGTTACATATTACTTGATAATTACAATGGTCCCACGATTTACACCCGAGTATTCGTCCCACGTGGTTTTTTTTTACGCGGTTGAGAATTGCGGAAATTGAGACTGCCAGTACAAAAAAAAAACGAAAGAGGAAAAACCAGTTGTATGAACGCGGTTTCGCCTCTCTTGCTTGTTCCTATGTGATTTTAGTTTTGTTTTCCGCGTAAACGGAGGACTTTTTACCGAGCAAAAAATCCGGCGTAAAAGCATGACGTCAAATATGATCATCATATTTAATCATATAAAATAATATATAATTTTATATTATATTATTGTGTGCGTGAGATAAAACATGTTGTTTGAAGAACTATATACCGTGGTCGAATTATTTGGCGTATTATTCATGTCGTTTGCTCCGCTGAAAAATGTCGCGTGTACTTTTTCCGAGACTGAATTTCAAGAACCAGAATTGAGAACACGCTTTTAATTAAAATGTTGATTAAAAAATCGTTATTATGTTGTAAATGAAAAATTCACCGCTAACGTACTGCACGGACATCTTCGATGGACAAATCGACAAATTATTTAGAGAACTCACGGATGAAAATTCGCCACTAGATCTAGGACACTCTGTATTGGACAGATCTATAAATATCGAGGGAAATATTTCATGTTACGGTCGCAAATAAATATTGCGTCCGATTTTAATCTGGCATGTACCGAAATAGATAGAACAGTCGATAGGATCGGAACCCTTTGGAGAGGTAAATTTTTTAACGCGGCGCTGCGAAGGGAACGTCAATAATATACCTACGTATATTACGCCATCCTACATATCTCAATCCGGTTCATCTTACACGATGAAGGATTTTCTCGCGTTCGATCGCGTATACGAACGAATTGTTCGTTTTGGACGTGCTTTCCTGTACCTTCTGCATGTAAAATCACACAGACGCGTATAAGGGTATATAAATATATAACTGGCGTAGAACGTAATTAAAACGGACGACCTTATATTTATGGAACTATATTTTTGAAACAAATACGTCTTCTACCTATTTCGAGGACATATTGACGTTAGTAAGAAAAATATCTATAATAGTTATAACATCATGGGCACCGTGTGTTTTCACTAATATTTCTATTTTGTATCGCATTTTTTAATTAAGTCTATATCGTATCTTTAAAGTATTTCTTTGTTACGTGCTGCATTATTAATCACACGTTACGCATATTATTCTTTCAACATTATTTGTACGTGATCCGTCGTAATTAAATTCTATCGCGAGATAACGCCGTAATAATGATTAAATTTTAGATCGTGAGAATTTCAAATAACATTTAGGCGTCCTACGACTAGTACGTTCGGGCACGTGTTAATTTGCGTTTGTTGTTTCTATTATGACTGATGTACATATCGTTTTAGCATTAGATCGTATTGTCACGACTTGTTATCCGCGTGCGCCTCGCGCGAATCCTCGTGCAAATCCAATTTCGACAGAACATACGAACATATTCCTGCGGTAAATCAACGGCCTTTTAACGCGGATTATGTGCTCGTACATCGCCGGAATATATCTAAATACATTGACTGTGGATAATCCAAATTATTTGGAATATTTACGACGGATGTATTAATCCAGTGGCAAATTTATACTAGTTGAATCCCAACTACTATAATCCGAATAATGCAAATTTAAGCCCTCAAGTTGCGAAACGTCCAAATTCAAACGTCATAAACTGAACTTGTAGAATTAGTTAATTGCGAACGTGAATTGTTCAATTGTTCGTACTACTATATTTTACTTTTGTTAGATAAAAAAATCAATAATATTTAACTTAAAATCCCCAGTTACTAAATAAATTTTAATTAGTAAAATTACATCGCTAGGATATGAAGAAATGTTTATTTTAACAATGGCATTTTTTTAGTAAAATTATTATGACATACAGAAGAGAATAAGTACGAAATTTGTGTAAATTTTAATAATAGCATTATGATATTATAATTTAAATTTCAGATTTTTATAAATATTGATTAGCTTTTAATTGGCCTTAAAAATGCTGTATTATTGCCCGGATAAACGTGGAGTTGTGGTTTCTTTAACAATGGAACTATTGGAATTTCCCAGATTCTCAAACATTTGCCAATTTTTAATTAACCAACTTCGATGAAGAGTTACATTATTGCGAGGAGCAAGCGAATAATATGTTTTAGCAACAATGACGTCATTGGAAATTAAATGTCATGCCTTCATAAGTGTAATGGATGAGTTTTAATTAATTATCTTTATTAATATTGCATGAAATAAATAAAAATGCATGTTCTTTAGCGACGGAATTAAAATTGAAAAGACAGACTCACAGATAATAATTAATTTTTAATTCATTAACTTTGAGTTGTATATCGCGCAAAAAAAACAGAATGAACATAAATGTGTTTTTTCCAACAATGCAATTATCAAAATTGAAAGTTTTCACAGACTTAAAATATTTATAGATTTGAAAAAAAATCACTTCTAAATATGATAAGTTTTGAGATCGTTTTCAAAATTCATACAATATAACGATAATGAGAGAATCAATTCGTTATTACATATTCTACAAAGTCGGTGTCTCAATAATATAATATTATTAATCTACATATATTAATTTAGAATTGTTAATCGTTTAAATCGTTTCACATTGCGACGTATCGCGAATATGATAAATATTCATTTTACACAGAACTAGATACGCAACCGTAGATATACAAAACTTGCAGATATGTAGGATTAGAATTTTGCATACATTTAACATTGTTGCATTATTTACTTCGTTTTTTATGCATATTTGCGCATATTTTGTTCACAGGTTATCGTTGCACGAAGAGACTCTACAAAATCTGTGAAAAATGTGCCCCATGAAAAATCCTGTTTGGACGTCAACTCGAAATTTGGAAAAAAAATTCTAACTGCAGCCGTGTGAAATAATTCGCAACGGCAAATTATACGAAAACGAGTCTGCAATCGTGATTATGATCGCAAGTAGAATCCATATAAACGGACAATCATTAACTCAAGAAGATCCAAGTATACGAAACGCCTAGAAGCTCAAATATTCAAGTACCAATTTATTCAAGTAGTTTAATGGAGCTTATTTTCCGAGATATGCACCCTCGCCTAATTCCTTTATTTTGGACCTCGACAAGTGAGTCACGAAACACTCTACATAAATCATTTAAAAATGATGCAAATTAAGAACTGCGCGATCTACATTGCCATGGTGAAGCTATAACTTGATATTCGTAAATGGATCGATTGCACGTCGGCCGTATCAAGGAAGAAGCGGAAGAAGACGAGAAAGAAGTCGTCCAACGGCGATAGCCAGTCGAAAGCCGTGAGAAAAAGCCCAGTTCCTCAAGATGGATTTAAACGAGATAGAGATGGATTTCAACAACACCGCGAATTCACCGTATGCACAGGCATTGTCTGCCAACAACACCAACCAGCAGAACAACACCACAAACTATCACGATATCGAGGATGTCCTCCTGCTGACTTTTAAAGCACTCATCATGATATTCATCATCCTCAGCGCTCTCTTTGGCAATCTATTGGTCATCGTCTCGGTCATGAGACACCGGAAGCTCCGGGTAATCACCAATTATTTCGTGGTATCGCTGGCCTTGGCGGACATGCTGGTGGCGTTATTCGCCATGACGTTCAACGCATCCGTGGCACTTTCTGGACGTTGGCTATTCGGGTATTTCATGTGCGACGTGTGGAACTCGCTGGACGTCTTCTTTAGCACCGTCAGCATCCTCCACCTTTGCTGCATCAGCGTCGACAGATACTACGCGATCGTCCAACCGCTCGACTATCCGTTAATCATGACGAACGTGAGACTGGGAACCATGCTGAGCGTCGTGTGGTGTTCCCCGACTGTTATTAGCTTCCTACCGATCTTCGCGGGATGGTATACCACGGAGGGCCATCAGACGTACAGAGAGAACAATCCGCACGAGTGTGACTTCAGAGTCAACAAGCTCTACGCTATCGTCAGTTCCAGTGTTAGTTTCTGGGTACCGGGGATAATCATGATCGCCATGTATTACAAGATTTATTGCGAGGCCGATCGTCAGGAGCGCATGCTGTATCGGTGAGTCATTTCTCTCTTAATCGTTATTACCGATGAAACTTTAGTCCCCCCCCCCCCCTTATAATAAGTCCTGATTAATATATCTTCAGAAGATTGATATTTTCGGCTACGAAGTTTTTATCTTTATAAATTTTTCATTAATATTATAGGAAAGCCCTCTATTGTGAGATACATAGGAGTTTAATATGAAATAGTAGGGTTTTAACGTGATTATATATCGGAAACTATACGGTAAATCAAGTCTAAATTTTACACACATACGTATTAATATTCAAATTAGTTTTGCAGCAAGTTTAAAGAAAATCTGTAACTTCATCATTTTTGACCTAACTACCTTAAAGTAAATCTCTTATTGCGCATTACATAAGCGTAAATGAAATGGAGCGAAAATCAATGCTTCAGCATCATACAAAAATCGAGTTTAAACTTGTATCAAAAATATCGCGCTACGCGTGGAAAATGGATTCATATTTTCCGCTACGTTGCGTAAACAATATAATTTGACAAACCGTATATTTGAAATACGACCGTACATTTATCGTATTAGCTACACTCTCAAATTGTCCGTTGCCAAATTACTTAAATGTACGAAAATAGTGAGGTTGTTAGCATGTTGTTACAACGGTTGGGCGATATACAGTGGTTAAATCTTCGAAGATACTTTTATATTTGAGACAGGAAAAATGAGGGGGAGAGAGAGAGAGAGAGAGTGTGTGTATGTATATATTCGCCATTAGTCTCTTCCAAAAGAATTCTAGTTCCATCCAAAAGATGCTCCCGAAAGCTTCGTGCTGTTCTTGAATGTCCAATTAGGGTAAAAGGCGCAAAAGAAGGTAGAGACGAGTAGCCGAACAACAAATGTACTTTTCAAGAGAGAGAAAGAAAGGGAAAAAGTATTCCGAAATAATGCCGTGCCATTATTTCCTGTATTGTGCGGCTTGCGTGTCATTACAAGCTTTAAATTCCTCTTCTTATTCTAAAAAATTTTTAATACACATATTATAATAAAATAATAACAATAACGTTCATGTATAGTACGACTGTTGTCTCGGCACTTCGGGATTGTGCATATTTCATTATTTTGTAAAAAATATGAAAGACAATCTAGCGCTTTAGCGAAGTAAACGATTGAATCTCAATTACAAATGCAAGGGACTGATTGCCATTAAAAATAACACTTTCCAGCAGTTATTTTTGTCGCGCGCGATGCTATCTTCGCTTTATAGTTTTCCGCGCTCGATCGATGAGGCTGTCGGCTCTCGGTCTTGCGCGACCTTGCCGCAAAGTTTTCTGTATTTTCATAAATTACATATCCGCGGTACGTCGCGTGTTCGCTCTTTATATAACGCGGACCACGTCGCGCTTCGCGCACACACGTCATTCCGTCGCACTATGAATGCGCCACCGAGACACCCCGGCCGTTTATGAACGCCAACAGGAAAACGTGAATGTAGAATAAAATGGAAATTTTTCGTTGCTCTCGAATTTGCCGTATTAGCTGCCAAAGAAGTCACCGGAACGTCGGAATAGAAAATTATGGCTTAATAATCGACAGCGGCGTTAACAAATTTTTAGTTCTCATTCCCTTTCAATTCAATAAGCATATAAAAATTAGAAAGAACGATGATCGGGTATAGTTGGAGTCGTTTTAATACGTTCATAGTTGCGTAAATATCTCTATGAAAATGAAAAGCTATTTTAAGAAATATTTACTTAAGTATCAAAGTAACGTCGGAATATTCAATCCATTAACTTATTTCTTAAATATTGAAGTTTTTGACGTCATATCTATCTAACTTCAATACGCTAGTAATATACTAATACATCAATATTTTTATGAACGATAAAATAACGATCTCTTGCTCCACAGTCGCAATAGAGTTAATTAAAGATTTTTATGAATAAGGGCTTTATGGCTGATGAAAAGGTCAGTTAGCGATCGAAAGTGACTTAAATTTAAAAATACAATCTAGACTTTCGTAATCTGAATTAAAAATCGCCCCGCGAAACTTTTAGTTTTATGATAGCGATGCAAATAAATGCAAAGTGTCGAGAGATTTAGTTTCACTTTAGTATATGAGTGACAATAGAAAAATGTGAACGGAATGAAATGGAAATTTCATGTCGCTCTCGAATCTGCTGTGGTCGCAAATACCGAAGAAATCGCCGAGGCTTCCGTCAAGCCGTGTGGCTCGCAAAATGTCAATTTTAAAAAGAAAATTAAAAACGATTTTCACATTATTCATTTATGAATGATAAATGTGAGCGCAAAAAGAAAAAGGACCTCCGCGGAGATACGGTTTCATTTTAAATTTGATTTCAAATTCAATTTGATAATTAATAAAAGTGTCATTTGTACGTAGGTACACATGCGATGTGACGTTGAAAAGATTATCGTGACAATATCATTACGGTATATCGTATTTAGCTCAAAATCAAAGTCATGTTGGTTAGCGCATTAAATTCACGCTAAGCGACTCTGACGTTTTCAATACCATCGCGAGCTGCAATCTTCGGGCGGGATTCTCTTGTCTACTGACGATTTCAATCTGGACCAGTCCTGGATGCGGTGCCAAAACTGATATCGTTCCGCGTCGCGTTGAGAGACGAGTATCAGTTTTGCGTCTCGCTTTTGCGGGAGCGCGCCGTAAATTTCGCAAAATCGATTGTGACTGGCGAGCTGGAAAGCCACATTCGGTTTACGAATGTGTACAACGCGTTATAACGGGTTTAGAAACAACGCACTATGTGATGTTTGTGGAATATCATAAATGTAGACCGAATAAAATATTTTAGCCGAATGTTTGCAAATTGTCCGCAGTTTGTTTCATTTTAAAATTATTCAGCCTGAATATATATAATCTAAAATTTAAATCTGACGAAGATTTGAACGAAGTATCGAAAGATTTGTCGTTTCGAATGATAAAATTTACGTAAAAAATTTTCAATTTAAAACGAGAAAAGAAGTTATTTCGCAGAATGCGAGAGAAATATTTATTTTGCTACCTTAAACTTTAATAAAATATGGAATTTAATTTAACATAAAGTTGGAAACAATTTAAAACAAAGTTGGGAAACAAGCGAAACTACATATTTTGAATTTTCATGTGTTTCGAATAAAAAGTTATTTAATTCAAACTTATTAATTAGAAATATAATCCAGAGCGTATTTACATGCAACCAACATTTGTAAAATCAAATTTTATAAAATTTTTTATAAATCAAAAGAAGAATAAAACGTAGAAGACATTTATAAAATAAAATGTTTGTTTGATTATCAGAAAGATTGCAAGTATAATATATCTTTCTTCTCTCTTTAAATTAGTACAATTTTCGATACAACTTTTTGAAAATTTTAAACGTTGAAATTTGAACGCAGTTTCATCAGAACCACCGTATATTATGTACTTCAATTTTATTTTAACGAGTACAATTCTGGCGCGTCTAATACGTTACTGATTGGTCGGTTGCCTGTTCCGCTCCCGTTCCTAAATTCGCAGGAAAGGTCTGATTGCGCGAGGCAAAGCTTTAATGAGCAACCTAACTGCAACTTAAGAATAATTTCGTGTTCAAGTTTACGCTCAAGAGGCTCCTCTTCGTTGACAAGTGCTTCGGCTTTCTCGCGATCGAGCTCGTCCCGTGCAGGCGCAATCTCTCCGACTGTCATTGGCTTTTGCGCATCGCCATGTATACACGGGGTCCAATTATTCGTACAATTAAACTTGAGAGACCGCATCTCTCGACACGGTGGTGTGCTTTGGCGAATAATTAATGTCGGAGATCAAACACCTAACGGAAATATGATGATTCGGTAGAATCGCAATTTCCAAACCGAGACGAATTAGGGTTTTCCAATTTTTCGACACAAAATGCGATGTTGGTACGCTCTCTGCTCTCCTAAAATGCATTATAGTTGGAATTATTTCTTTTAGTTTAGAACTTGGATTTACTTTTAATTAATCAATTTAATGATAAACATTTTTCAATTAAATTAAACTTTTTACATGTTGCCTTTTGTTTTAACTCTTGGATTAATAATTATAAATTAATTGTTTTGAAGTAAAAGATGCAACAACCTTTCAATGAAGAAAAGTCATGTTTGTCATTTATTGTCCCTGGTTTTACCTACAATTTCAGTTCAAACCGGAACGTTATAGCACACGGACGTGATATTTTAGTTAAATTGAATCTCCTAATAAATTCATGCGTTGACAATGGCATGCGTGGCTGCTAGAATTTATACTTCGTTAACGTCTATACACGAGGTAACTTCACATATATGTTTCTTCAATTTCTTCTTTTTCTTTTTTCTTTTTTTGTAACTCTACTATTGTAATTTAAAAAAAAATGTGACATGTTGGTTTGCAGTCCGAGTACTTGATAAGGACCTGATATTTAGGTCGAAACGTCGTAACCGATGTAACTCCTCTGAAGAATATATTGCCAGTTAGATCAACAAGAAGTTTTTTTTATTATTTATTCATTACTGGTGACTTTAATTATACCCTTCACTGAAGAAAAGTCAGTTTTAAATCCGAAAAAGATATTTCGTTGGAACACCGCGTGCAGATTTTATATGGATTCTAAACGATACAAGGGGATGCGATAGATTTAAATTCACTTTTCCACAAATTTGCCAAATTCTTTCATATTTTTTACAAAAAAAATATGTTACAATCATAAATAAAATATTACATTTACTGGCATAAAATCTTATGTTTGAAGATGTTATTAACAAATATGTCAATAAATGTGAGACAGATTTATATGTGCGTGGGGAGAACCGAACATGTGTGTGTCAGCACGTGTAAACATGCTCAGACAGGCAATTTAAATGCATGAAGGTGATTGAAGTTATGCAAGCGATGCCTAATTCCACTTTAAAGTTTAACAAGATGTAGCACGGGAAAATATATACGCATAATTTGCACAACTTGCACTCCCATAGTTTTATTATTAAAATACTTAATAAACACAATGAAAAATAAGAGATATATAAA